TTCTATTTTTGAACACAATTGTCCTTTATTTTGTACATCAGGAAGGGGGGCTAGGGAGGGGTAAGTGGAAGGAGGTGAGGGAGGAATGGGGTACGAGCTCCCGATGGGGAGGACTGGGGTGGCTCTGCGGGCTTCTGGGGGTGGAAGCTCTCCTGCAGCCCCCCAATTGCTCCCTCTCCTCAGATGGCAGCCTTCAGCAAGTGCAGCTGGTCTGTTGGCCGAGTGCTGTGATGTGCCGAGTGTGGACACTCAGGGCACTCCAAGCCAGGACTGCTTTGCAAGCGGGGCACCCCTGAGAACTGTCTGTCCGGGGTGGGGGTCGGGTCCCTTTAAGCACAGCCCTCGGCTAGCCTGAGACAGCAGCTCCACGCTCTAAGTCCTCATCTGATGCCCTGCCGGCACTGCTTCCGGCCATCCTTAACCCCGGATCAGGGTCCACTTAATGTGGACATGCTAGTTCGAATTAGCAAAACGCTAATTCGAACTAGTTTTTTAGTCTGGATCCGTTAGTTCGAATTAGCTTAGTTTGAATTAACTAATTAGAACTAAGTTAGTTCGAATTAGCGCTGTAGTGTAGACATACCCATAGAGACTGTTTGCTATTCCCTTTCCTGTCCTTGTCAAGGAGTGAGAACAAAGTACAAAGCTTGTTTGCCTCCTGCACTCCTCAGCCAGAGCGAGGAATGCAGCAAACTGTGCACTTTCCCCTCGCTCCCTGACAGCAATGTCCCCATAGGAATCAGGCGGATGGAGGGGAGAAGCTTCAGCCCCCGCTGCCCTTCCTAAAGGGTGCCTGTGGGGTGGGAAGCCCCAAGCTGGGGTAGGGGCACTCCTGGACGGGGGCAGAGGTACGCCCCCAGCCAAACCCTTACACCTGCCTGCCAATTCTGTCTCTTTGCTGTATGGTTTTAGGAGAAGCAATCCCATTCCAGGCACATCCCATTACCCTGACACAACCAAGCCTTCACCTAGCTGTCAGTTATGATAAGAGGAAGCTGCAGACCAAATTTGGTGGCCCTCGCTCTTACCATTTAGGAAAAATTCTTGAACACAGACCGACAGACTCTTTCAATATATAGAAGATGATCTTTTAGCAACCTGCTTTGAGTTCTTCTGTCCTCCGGCTATATGTCATGGGGGATATCGCTATTCTGAAATGTAAGGCAGATATGTATTTTTCTTTTTTTGGCTGCCATGTTATGAAATTAGCCTCCTTGCTCAGGTTGTGGTGTTGCAAATGCCTCGTCCTTTCATCTTTTTATTTGCCTCGTCCTTTCATCTTTTTAAAGGCTCAGTAACACAAAACACTTTTTTAAATTCGAGGGACATCGCCACAGCAGGTATAAGCTGTCATAACTCACTTGGAGCCATAGCAATTTATACCAGCTGCAGATCTCCCTTGCAATGTAATTGTGCTGTATGTATTGTATTTTTATAATGGGGGCTGTATGCATGATAACTAGTTTTGCTTCCTCTTAGTAAGCCTATTATTGCATTAATATTTTAAAAAATAAATGTGGAACCACAGTGACAGAATTAATAAGGAAAAAAGAATGCATGAACTAATCAGAGAGTGTCTAAATCCATCACACAGCGCCAGATACTCTCATCAGCAGTATGGAGAGACAAATCAAACAAACCCTTTGACAGAGTCAATAAAAATCATGATTTATAAGAAAAATTAAATCAATTTTTATTCACATTATAATTATTTTTTTAAAAAAATAATGATTTTTTCATTTAAATCAGCCTTTTTATTCATATGTCATTAGTTCTATATTTTCTTAACATTTTAGAGTCTTATATTTCTAATGTGTTTTGGGTTTATTTTATTTTTGTACTTGCTTTGTTTCCCAACTCTTAGTAGAATTTCAGATTTTGCACAGGGAATTTTTTTTCTACTAAGAAGTTTCACATTGAAAAATCTCATCTATGCCGATAAAGACAAATTCAGGCCCTCCTTAACGTCCTGATGGTAAGAACACCACAAAAAACATTTATAAGCAAAGAACCTGTGCAATATTTGTAACCGACTTCTCTTTCCAATACACTAAAAGTTCCTTAAGTCACAATAGCTAAAATACTTCTATTAAGCTATACCTGTCTTTCAGGTTTGCAGTTTGAAATCAATGGGACTTGTATTCCTAGTGGGTTTTGAAAATCCAACCTTCAATGCCAAAATATGAACTGAAAAATCTAACATTAAGTTCCTGTTTTTTTAAAATATTGGCCCGCTTGTGTGAAGATATTTACAGTATCTTTGTTAATGTATCAAAAGCCTAAATAACCTTTCTTTGTTAACACTGTTTAATGTGACAAAATTTACACCGCTAAAATTATTTTAATAAAAATACAATAGGCAAACATTGATGCATCTGTTTAACTTTAAGCACAAGTCCCTTGAAACCTTCATTTTCAAGATTTTGTTCTTTGCCTACAGTTTGAATTTTACAAAACATACACTGCCAGTGAGTAGCACTGAAAAAAAAGCAACATTTGTTTAGCCTTTAATTCATTATAAATTGACATACAAATTTGCTAGAGTATAAATTGATGGTCAGAGGGAGTTAGGCACCTAACCTGCTTTGATGCTTTTGTAAATCCCATTAAGCACCTGTCTCCATCCTTAGGTACTGGCCCTTAATCTCTCAATTCCCCATCTATAAAATGGGGATAATAATTCCTCTCTCCCAGCCTCTAGTCTGCTTTGGCTATTTAAAGTATAAGTGCTATAAAGCAGAGATTGTCTATTACTAGGTATAATGTGCAGAATCTAGTGGGGCCCTGATTTTAAATGAGTTCTCTAGTTGCTACTATAACACAAATAATTAATAAAAAGTGAATAGTCCTGTGGCACCTTAGAGACTTTTTGTTAGTCTCTAAGATGCTTCAGGACTATTCGCTGTTTTTTAAGTTTTTTTTTTTTCAGTTACAGACTAACACGGCTAACCCTCTGATCAAATAATTAATGTTATAAGTGAACATATTTCTAGATATAAAATTAGCTCTGTTGCTCATATTTCTGTAAACGGCAGGCCATTCATGCATCTAGCTGGTAATATATAGTGAAAACATTCATAGCTGTCGCTTACATAAAACCAAATTAAGATTTACATGTTAAAACTGGCAATCATAACAATATGCAATCTAGGAAGCAGTATGCAGGCAATCAATATCAGGAAAGGATATTAAAAACAATCTCTTCTAGTGAGTTATGTCTCTCAAGGAAGCGATCCATAAATTACACCTAATTTTTAATAAACCAGCAGTAATTCATAACAAATACTTAACCCAACTAGAAAAGCCAAGCAATAAATTAAATCCTTTGGAACCTGAACTATGATGGAAAGTGGAATGGAGATGTTTGACTCTCTGGGCAGGATAGAGGAAGGAACGGAAAGCATCAACTCATCTCACATTGCATTCCCATGATTTCTCTTATGGTCCCTAATCCAAAACCCAAAGAAATCAACTGAAAGCCTCCAATTGACTATAAAGGTGTAAGTCCCTTTCACCTGCTGATTAAGATCCCATTCCCTCAAAACACTTAACTCTGGGTCTATTCAGTAAAACACTTGCCTCACTGTTCGCATATGAATAGTGCCATTATGCTTAAAATTACACATCTACTTAAGCAGGTGCATACTAAGCAATTAGTGTTTTGCTTACTTGAGGCCTTAAAAGGCCCTGTATATAATTCCTGGGATTTGCATTTACTGATAACTCAAATAATAATCCCCACATATTTTCTTTACAAGCCTGACTCTTTCTAGTTTCCTGTAGGATTTCCATGACACTATCCCCCTCTGACCACAGAGTCATACCTATATTTTGGTGGAATTAGCACCTGCCACACTGAATCAACAGCAGTTTAATGCACAGCTCAAAAGCCTTTTAAGGGGTTAATTCAACAGAAGACCCCTGCAAACCAAAGCAAGATAAGAACCTAAGAACGGCCACACTGGGTCAGAACAGAAGTCCATCTAGCCCAGTATCTTGTCTTCTGACAGTGACCAATGTCAGGTGCACCAGAGGGAATGAACAGAACAGGGAATCATCAGGTGATCTACTGATGGATCTATCCTCCATGAATTTAGCTAGGTTTTTTTTTTTTTTTGAACCCTGTTAAAGTCTTGATCTTCACAACATCCTTTGGCAAGGAGTTCCATAGATTGACTACACAGTGTAGAAAAATACTCCCTTTTGTTTTAAAACTGTTACCTATTAATTTTTATTAAGATTAATAATAATATTAAGATGATAGATCCTGTCACCATTTTACACGTCCTTTATTATTTGATCCTACAGTAGTCACACATTATGCTCCATATGATGTTCCATATGCATGCATCTAAGATAATACAAACGGTGCAATTATCTGGTCACCAGCATGTAAAATTACCTGGCACTGTCTCATCACATAATGAAAGCCTGCTATAATGTATAATGGGTACACATTAATCTATGAATGTGTATTAAATTCAGCCAGTTTAATATATACATGATTCCGATGAAGTGCTGTCCATCATGAATCTTTGTGAAATTTATCAGTGCCTGCCTGAAAAATTAATGGAAGATTTTAAAGCTGTGAAATGCTGCTTACTTGTCAGATATGATTGTGGGAGGCAACTGTTTGTGATCCCCGGCCAGGATACACTTCCTGGCCCTCAGCAAAGGTATCCAACAGCTCGCTTCTAATGCCTGAGCACATTCATCTATCACCACCAGATCAAAGTGATTTTCAGGAAGTAACTTCAGTGGACCATCAGAGGAAGCACCTAATCAGAGGAAAAATCAAAAGAGAATTAACACCTCTTGGGAGGAGGAAATAAAAGCTCAAACCTATTAAAAGACCCTTACACAAAGTAATTGCTGCTAAAGACAGCTGATAAAGATGCTGGTTCTCTGCAGAAATTCACAATTTCAAATCTGCAGAAAAATAAAGAGACTTGCTATTTACCAGTTTCTGACTACAGTTTTGACTTAGGCACCCATGCCCAAAGCCTCTCTAGCATCTTGAAAACAACAATAAAACCAGACCATTAAAACCACAAAACAATATGCTCCATTATCTCACCAAAGCAGAAAAAAAACATTCATGTTCCTTCTGCCTTCCACATCACACAGCCCAAACTAGAAAAGAAACAGATTTCAGATTTGTCTTTAATGATATACTATGGGAAAGAATTTCTGATCTTAAACTGAGCATGGTTTGTCTAACCTACCAGTCTTCTCAAGAATCTATTGGGATATGATTAGGAAAATTAACTCTACCAAAAATGCTGCACAAACCCTCCTCAGAACATCTGTGATATAACAGAGCAGATAAGATTGGGGCAGGGATTGCAAGTGTGTAAAGTGTCTAGCACACTAGAGCCAGAATCATGAAAGTGGGGTCTCTAGACACACCTGCTTCTATTGCTCAGGACTCTAGATTTGAGAGGCATCGAAAACTCTGGTGAGGAGAGAGTAGCAACCCGTTTTATGTTTATTATTCAGAGTGTCTTCATAAAAAGAAGGTTTGGCTTCTAAAGCATCTTATACTATTGTAGGGCTGAAGAATGCTACTCAGGTTAGGGAGGATTTCGTTCTTTTATAAGCCACCCTGTACCATTTTGGATCTCGTTGGACACACCTGACACAAGATACGGTTTGTCAACTTAAGTGCGATTTTTTTTGGAAAAACCTTTTCAGAATATATTTACTCAATATAGTTACATAAAACATATAATATGCACCTGGCATTTTATATATATTGCCAAGCTCCAAGACCCCTCCAAAAAAGATATATGTGATGGAAGACTTTGCTTTTGTGCAGGTAGATAGGGGCTATTTCGTTCTTGCCATACAGCATGATTCTAATATATTGATCTCCACTTAACTGAAGGTCATGTATGTCCCCCAGGGTTGCAGTAATTAAGCTCTCCTCCTGCTGAGCTTAGCAGCAGAGAGATACAGAGGTTCGGTTTGTGGGACTAAATGCTGCTAACTCACTGGCTCTGAGTAATCCAGCAGGCTTTCTATAATTGGTAAACCATAATTGTCTGAACCTCCAATTTTGCCAACACTGTCACAATCCCAGCTTGGTAAAACCAAGGCTGCATTGCATTGTTTTTAATTTGCTGATGTAATTTATGGATGTGTTTTGTAAAGGACTTGTGACAAAGCCAAGTTATTTAGACTTCAGAACTAGCTGCATGAGTTTGCAGAAGAGACCAGAGCTGAGATGGCAGAGTGAGACTGTGACTATCACTGAAAGAGAGAGTCCCACTTCTTTCACAGTCACAACTAGAACTGAGTGACTACCTCCCTACAGATAATTCATATCAAGGATTTCATGGGGTGTTTTCCTATTTGTGAATTGTCCATGGCCATCCTGTGAAACCCTTGAATGTATCTGTAATTAGAAGATTTACTCGGCATTGCTCAGGTCCTTAATTCAATTTTTTTGGGGGGGAGTGGAGGGGAGAATTAAATGAAAATGTACTTGCTTCATTTAAATGTTTGCTCTGGGGTGGGGCTGAAGATGAGGAGTTCAGTGGGCAGGCTGTCCTGGGGAGAGAGGACTAACCCAGCCCTCTGTCACTGCAGCAGCTTGGGGAAGGCAAGAATTGTCTCTCCATGGCCACTGCAGCTCCAGCGGGCACAGACCGGGGGGGGGTGCATGTCCCCCGACTGGGGCAGGTCCAGCTTTGTCTGCTCCTGGCGCTCCCCAGCCAGAGTGAGAAATGCAGCAAAGTGTACACTTTCCCCTTATTTCCCAACAAAGAGGCACAGCAATGTCCCCATATGAAACTCCCTAAAAGGCGCTGGAGGAGGGGGAGGACGACGACTCTGGGCTGAGGCAGTCCCATTCCAGGGACATCCTGTAAGTTATGACAAGAGGAAGCTGCATACCAAATGTGATAGTCCCTAGCTCTTAATATTTAGGAGGAGGCGTTCTTAGACAGAAAGATTCAGGCATAGACAGACAAATTCTCTAAAATATATAGTAGATTTAGCATGTAAGCTCTTTGGGCAGGGACTGTCCCTTACTAATTAACTGTTTGTACGGTAGTGGGGAGAGAGGAGCATTAGCACAATAGAAGCCTGATCTCTTTTGGGATGTCAAGGTGCGAGAGCAATATATAGAATAAATAATAACATCTGCCCATTGTGATCAGAGTTTTAGGTAATGAAGCAATCAACGCTCCCATGTAAAGGTAATAAAATGTTCTTTGAAAAGTAACATATGCAGATGTTCCATAACCTGATTGTAAACATAAATATCCCCATTGTTCTAAAAAATAAGGTGTTTATAAACAACAACAAAACCCCTGTGAATTAGCCTAACTCATTTTAAGGACTGAATTCTTGTATGATGTGTTGGTTTTATAGCAGTGTAAGCATATAGGGCATGTTACCGAGCTATAAAAGACAAAGGACCCTGCTCTGAGAGGCTTGCCAGTGGACTGGGATGAATTCAATAATAGTGATAGATCACAGACAGAGAGAGAGACAGCATTGAAAGGGAAATCAGTATTGAAAACAGCTGAACATATGGTGCCGGATTGGGAAAATTCAAATATAATTATTTTGTTTAATCAAAAGCTGTTTTAATTTCCTATTTGCAAGTCTTGTGTGTTCACTTTCGACAAACATTCAACCTTCGGGAATATAAATACTCCTGAGAAGTGAATTTTCACCTTGACTAGTAACCAAAAGTGACTTTCAGACTACCTTTCCCTGCACAATTTGCCCTTTGCAGAGTGGTTAAAACAGCAAATGCAGTATGAAATATGAATTCTATTTTCAATGTGTAACATTTCTTGTTTGAAACGTTACACTGTGCTAGTCAGGTCCATAGGTCACATTGTTTCTGGATTCCTGAGGGGATGATTAGTTCGAGTCTAGGTAGGGTAATTAGGGCAACCGGAGTTGCAAATGAAGCCCGGGATTTAAATATCCCGGGCTTCAGTTGCATGTTCCTGGGCGCTGCCATTTTTAAATCCCCCTTAGTCCGAACTCCGTGCCCATGACTACACGCGGCACGGAGTAGGTAGTTCGAATTAGAGATCCTAATTCGAACTACCATTACTCCTCGTGGAATGAGGAGTAACGGTAGTTCGAATTAGGATCTCTAATTCGAACTACCTACTCCGTGCCGCGTGTAGTCATGGGCACGGAGTTCGGACTAAGGGGGATTTAAAAATGGCAGCGCCCAGGAACATGCAACTGAAGCCCGGGATATTTAAATCCCGGGCTTCATTTGCAACTCCGGTTGCCCTAATTACCCTACCTAGACTCGAACTAACGAGCTAGTGTAGACATACCCTAACTGATCAACGTAAGTGAGAATTTTGAATGGGATTTTTATCTGTACTTGACACAGTAATTGCAGTATTTGTTTAGTTTCATAAGCCACCCATAAGCCATAATTCTAAACAGCAAAGTAGATGACTGGATAGCAGTATTTTTTTGCATTACAGCCTCTCTGTAAGAATCACTCCAAGCCTTATGGAGCCTCTGACGAAGCTACGAAGCTGTGCTGAATAACCTCAGCTGTAATCATAGCTAATCTGAGCCAACACTTTAAAAGGTGAAAGAGGAAGGAGTATGTCTAACCTGTATTTGTTGCAAGAACAACATTAGCCTGAGAGAGGATTTCAATCATAGCAGTTTCTTCTCGCTCCTTCAGCTCCTTTCTCAGTGCTTTAATCTCATTTCGGAAATGGCTTTTCTCCCCCTTGTCCTGAGTCTTTCTGGTTTTTGTCTGCACAACAGAAATGAAAACCAAGATGAAAAAAGCAGCCTTTAGTCAAATAACTACCAAAGAAAATTATTGGTGGCCCATTTAATAATTAAAACAGAATCTTTGGAATAAGCACAATTTACTGAATTTCATTCAACAGCTATTCATTACAAAAATAAATAAAAGATTGCTCTATACTATGGGCTTTATGATTCCAACCTAAAGCCCTTATCCCACTTGCTCAATTGATTCTAGAACCTTAAGACATGATCCACAACCTAATCTTCATCTGCCCTAAATAATCTTGGTTACTCATTTCTGCAGCCATTATTCATTTCCCAACACAAGGAGCAGTCAGAGGAGGAATTGAGAGCTCATCAGAATAACTCTCTGTTCTCTGCTCTACTCAAAGGATGTTGTAGCTGTGAGTTTGCCCCTTACTCAGGACAGATTGGAAAGTGCCAACGTACCCTTCATACCGTAAGGCTAAAGGAATTGTTTGCGCTCATCTAGCCTAAGCAGCAGCTTTGCACTTTTTAACACATACTTTTAAACATTTATAAATGATTCAGAACATATATTTTAATAGAGAGGGTTGGGTTTTGTTAGTTATACATATTTAAAAAAATAACCCAGAGGTGCATATAACATTGCTGGTTGATCTTTGGTGGTTGTGATGCATTGGCAAAGCCATCTTGGAAATTCATCTTGGAAAGGCACCAACCTCTCACAGCAATGAGGCTCTCCCAATTGGTAAACAACTTTGTAACTATTTTATCTCCCTGGTCAAAACTTATTAGGAAGCTGGAAAAGCTACAAAAACTGCACCCACCCACTCTGCTGCAGTGAGTTGTTTGCGATGGAACAGAGTGGTTAAAAAGCAAGCTGGCTTTGACTAGCGACTCTACCCTGACTGATGCCATTGACGGCTCTGACAGACAGACAGCAATTATGTCTCTTACAGAAGAGCAGGAAGCAGAGGGGAAAGGCAAAAATATATTGCCTCGTTAGATTGATGTTTACAGTTTGCTCTGCAGGAGGATCCTGTAAGACTACAACTATTAGTAAAAGGATTAAGGAGAGTAATTCTTTTCTGGAATCTGCTGCTCCATTAGGCTGTGGAGAGCAGATTGAATCTGAGCACACGGAGCAGTCAGGCGAACCAGCTGACATGTCACAGGGCCAACGCAATATAGAGTAAGTGCGGTAGAAGGGCACCAAGGAACCCTTCGCAGCCCCTAGCGCACAGTAACAGAGTGCTGTTTGCTGGTGTTTGCAGGATTTTCTTAGGCAGCATAGGGGTGTTGTTGAAGGCGATTAGTTAAATGGAGAGAGAAAGGTCAGAGGGCACAAGACAAGGGAGAGAAGAGTTAAGGCTGGAAGTAAAAAGGATACCTTTTTACTTGGAGGGCAGGTGAAGGTGGGCTGAGGTGAAAAGCATAGATGAATGTAACCAACTTCTTACAAGTACTGTCCTATCACAACCTGCTTGGGGGAAGATAGGGTACAGGGTTGGGGGAGGAGTTGCAAAAGGACAGTACCTGTAAGAAATTTAAGTGTATTATGGAGTACAGGGGCAGGCAGCGGGCTGGGAAGTGGGGAGGGGCACTCAGGGCATGGTTTGAGGATAGAGAGGTGTGCAGGAATCAGGGAAGAGGATTGGATTCTGGAGGGTCAGAGCAGGCGATTGGGAGGTGTGGAGGGCTCAGGAGTCAGGGCAGTAGGATGGGGGTGCAGTAGTCAGGGCAGGAGTGTGGGGGGAAGGTTCAAGACAGGGGGGCTCAGGACAGGGGAATAGGAGGCTCAGGGCTAGAGGCGCTGGATCCCTGGGACTGACTGGGACAGTGAGGACCATGCTGCCTGGTTGCCCACGCACCAGAGCTGGAGCCTGAGTCTGCTTTGGCTGCGCCGCTCAGAAAGTTAGCAACAGCCCCAGCCCTCACCCACCCCGGTGTGCCACACAGGGCACAGTGACTTACTGTCACCTTTGGGGAAAGACTGGGGGGGATAGGAAAGGGGGAAAGGGACTCAAGAAAGCATCTGGAACATCGACACAGCCTCAGTATAGTATCCTGTCTACTTGCAACCAACATCCTTGCCTGGCCAATCTCAGTATTTTCCCTTCAGATGTCCTCTCAAGAGGCCAAGAGTAGCTGCCTGTGATACCTGGAAAGGGGCAAGGCAGCTATCTCAGTTCCCATGTCAGCTCCAAAGTGGAGCAATTTGAATGCTGCCCAGTATCATGCTGTTGGCACAATGGACTCAACCTGAGAGGGAAAAGGAGAACATAAATCTGGAGCATCATTCCTCAGTGAGAGACACTCTGGGGAAATCATACAGATGGTTTCACTGCCATGGGATCCAGTTGGTGGGCCTTAAAATCACTTCTTGTCAATTTTGCATTTCAAGGATTAAGCATACACCCTGTGCTCAGTCTGTGCTAGGACTGAGCTATCGCACCTCTAGGCTTGGCCATTCATAGCCCCAGCACCTTTGGGCTTCCCATGTCAGCTATGAAAGTAAAAAAATTGCTTGAGCCATAGATCTCTTTCATTACCCATAAAGCGCTGCAAACACTCCTTTAAATTCCTCCACTGGCAGCCATTTTAGAGCATGGTTCATCCATCACATACATTCTCACAAGAGGAAGCAGAAAGGGAAACCCTAGTACCCATCCCCTCAACATTTTCATTCAGCTATAGGGAATCAAGAGAGTTAAGAGACTTGTCAGTCAAAATTTCCCTTTCCTCAATGTATCTCTGTGGAAGCAAAATTAAAGAAAAAAATTGCCTGCAAATTGGAAAGATGTGAAATGATTTGAAACATAATCAAACCCTACAGCTTACATATGTGAAAACAACCTAAGTCTCTGTTAAAGCAGATGCTAAGGGAAACACTGTAGCTATGGGAAACCTATTCATTTTACAGGGCAGACCCCTTGCTGTGGACATTTACCCATCTAACCATGGAACCAAGTCCTTTCCTGCCCCGTGTGAACCTGCCAGAACCGAAGAGAAAGAGCTCCCAGGAGACTGCCCACCAAGTGACATTCTAACTCTCACCTGCTTCTACTGCAAATATGCTCAATAGCAGCAAAAGACACGCAAGATGCTGAATAGCCTCGATTGAAAATCTTAAGCTGCTGCAGCAACGATAGCTGAGGATGAATGATTATGAATCCAGAAGCCATACTCAATCTGCTCCATCTGTATAGCAAAACTGTGTTCCCTTTTCTCTAGCAGCGCAAAGAAAGTCTGAAGAATCTTTTGCATTGGAGCAAAACCTTCCAGCTTTGCTGGCAAAAGTCAGTATTTTATTGGAGAGGGAGAGAGGGGAGACCAGTGGGACAAAAAATTGCCTTGGATGCTCTTGCTTTATGGTTGCACACTGGAGTTGCTACTGGGGATGTTTAAAGGAGTTGGGAGCTTAGGGAATGCAGAGAATGAAGAGGAAGGGAAGGAATGGTTAGTCACAAGGGGATTACAAAATAGACTTCGGCCGACATGGCAATTCATGCTGGGATATGGATACCACAAGTGTTTTGCTATTTGAGAAGGGAATATCTTCCAGCCCCAAGTGAGGCTATAAAGCCACCATGTGCTATGTCATTGCTGAAACATTGCTGAAACACTGGGGAAACATTAATCTGCATGGAATTGGTTTATGCCAATTAAAATAGTGCTGCATTCTAAATTAAGTTAAACATAATTACATTAAAATAATTATATTTCTATGAGCTCTCCCAGTATTTCTCTGAGGTGGGAGAGGTGGAAGGAGGAGGATGGTACCAGTCAGGGCAACCAGAAGTATCATTCTGAAGTTATTTACTGATATAACATTAAAAACGAGTGGTCCCTTGCCACACCTCAGAGACCAATCAAAATATATAGAATCATGAGCTTTAGTGGGCAAAACCCACTCCATCAGATGAATCGTCAGTTCTGAGAGTGGGCTTTCAGAAGTACGCAACATGCGACTAAACAGACCAATGGTGGCAATGCCATAAGACCATCATGACCAGTGTTCCCTCTAAGCTGCGTGGCAGCACAGCTGCACAGGTGATTAATCAGCCATGCTCAGTCAGAGGCTCATGGAGCTGGCTGACTGGGTGGGGCTGATTAATTGCCTATGAAGCTATGTTGCTGCACAGCTTAGAGGGAACACAGATCAAGACCACTGACAATTCAGGAGGGAGGGCTAGCTAGGCATTTTATGAGCCACTTGCTTTGATGAGTTTCGCTTGCTAGCAGGTCAAAGATCTCATCAACACAAGGATATTCAATACCCACATGGACTCGGTCCATAACATGCTGCTGCATGAGAATCCCAGGAACTCACTTCTTTGGCTGATAGGGCTTATAGTGGCATGGTGAGACCAGGAAAGGAAGCTGTGCAGGCCCCCTGTGGTCAATATGCCGATTAGTGTTGATAAACCATAGATGGGGCCTCAACAAGTGCTCCAAGGCTAGGAAGGAGGACATTGGGACACTGAGTGGGAATCAGCCAGAAGCAGGGAAATCAGCCCACCAAATAGTAGTAAGTATATTTCTTACACAGCACTTAGATCTCATACCTCTCTGCCCACAATGAGAAATGGGTGTCATTAGCACTACTTGCCCAAGGTGGAAACACACTTAGGCTGTGTCTACACTGCACTTTCCACATTAAAACTATTGCCACACCAGGGTGTGAAAAAACACACACCCTGAACGACAAAATGACAAAAAGTGTCAGTGGGGAGAGTGCTTCAGTGGTGGGAGATGCTCTCCAGAGGTGTGTCTAAACTACATGGTTCCGTCGATGGAGCCATGTAGATTTGTTTGTTCGGCAAAGGGAAATGAAGCCACGATTTAAATAATTGCGGCTTCATTTAAATTTAAATGGCTGCCACGCTGAGCCAACAAACAGCTGATCAGCTGTTTGTTGGCAGATCGGGGCAGTCTGGCCGCTTCCCTGCCGACATGAAAGGCCTTTATCGACCTCCCCGTTATGCCTCGTAGGATGAGGCTTACCGGGGAGGTCGATAAAGGGCTTTCAGGTCAGCGCAGGAGCGTCCAGACTAGCGTGCGGAGCCGACAAACAGCTGATCAGCAGAGCGGGGCAGCCATTTAAATTTAAATGAAGCCGCAATTATTTAAATCGTGGCTTCATTTCCCTTTGCCGAACAAACAAATCTACATGGCTCCACCGAAGGAGCCATGTAGTCTAGACGTACCCCAGGTGACAATGCTACTGCCCCTCATTCAGAGTAGTTTTAGTTTGTTGGCAGGAGAGCTCTTTCCTGGAGACAGAATGGCTACACACTTTACCTTACAATGGCACGGCAGTAGTGATGACATAAGCCACATCTTCTCTTGATGCACCGGAGATCTTCTGGCATTTGATTTAGTGGGTCTAGTTAAGACCCTCTAAATCAAATGCTGAGGGTTGCTCAAGTCGGCACTGGTACTCCTCACCGTTGTGAGATGTAAGGGAAGCCAATAGGAACGTTTGCTGCCATTGGCTCCCTCTGTGAAAAGGCGCCAACTTCAGCTTAATGTAAATTGACTCCAGCTATGTATTTTATGTAGCTGGAGTTGCATACTTAAGCTGACCTTCCAGGTCTAGTGTAGACCTGGCCACACCCTCAGTAGAGGGGAAATGACATGCCCAATCTCACATAGCACAGTTAAGGATAGAAACGAGGACTCTCAGACCACTGTCCTGTCTCCTGGACCCCATTGTCACCTTGTTCCCATAGGAGGAAAGGAATGTGTTCTAATCATGAATATATTCTCATATGAGAAATCTACGGAACACTGTGAAAATAGCTCCTGTCAGGGTCTCAATATTTGAAAGATAGAAATGGATTCATTAATACTAAGTGTTCTTTTGGCATGCAAAGCCTAGCAGTCATAAGGGACAGGCTTATGGAAAAGGCAGCTAAAGATTTTTTCTTTTAGACTCGTAGTAAACAGATTACACAGAGTTTTCTACAGTGCATTACTTTTAACCCTTCACTGTCTTGGGATGATCTGCAACTGGAAAAGGGAACCTTCCAGCCTCTATGAATCCTATGCATGCACAGATCCAAAGTCATCAGCAGGTCTCCCTTTTATGTATGAAGGATACTTTATTGCTGAAATACAGGATTAGAAGCAAGAAGACAACCAAGGACAGAGTAGACCCATTACTCAATGAGGCGGGGGGAATAACTAAAATGTTGAAATAGCAGAATTGTTAAATGACTTTTTTCATTTCAGTTTTCACCAAAAAGGTTAGGAATGACTGGATGTCAAACATAGTGCATGCCAGTGAAAATGAGCTAGGATCAGAGGCTAAAATACAGAAAGAACAATTTAAAAATTACTTAGACAAATTATATCTCTTCATATCACCAAGGTTGGATCAAATACATCCTAGAATACTGTAGGAGCTGATTGGGGAGCTATCTATCTGCGACATTAGCAATTACCTTTGAAAAGTCATGGAAGACAGGAAAGATTAGAAAGGACAGGAAAGGGGGAAATATAGTGCCCATCTAGTAAAAGGGAAATAAAGACAACCCTGGGAATTACAGACCAAGCACTTAACTTCTGTATCTGGAAAGATAATGGAGCATATTATTAAGCAATCAATTAGCAAACACCTAGAAGATAATAAGATAAGGAACAATCAGCATGGATTTGTCAAGCCAATCTAACAGCTTTCTTTGGCAGGGTGGCAGGCCTTGTGGATGAGAGGAAGCAGTAGATGTGGTATAGCTTGACTTCAGTAAGGCTTTTGATACTGTCTTGCATAACCTTCTCAAACAATCCAGGGAAATACAATCTAGATGGCACTACTAAAAGGTGAGTAAGACTTGTTGGAAAATCATTCCCAGAGAGTAGTTATCAGTGATTCATAGTGAAACTGGAAGGGCATATTGAGTGGGCTCAGTTTTGGGGTCCCGTTTTGTTCAATATCTTCAGAAATGGTTTAGAAAATGGCACAGAGACTACAGTTATAAAATTTGCAGATGACACCAAGCTGGAAGGGGTTGCAAGTGCTTTGGAGAATAGGATTAAAATTAAAAATGATTTTAACAAATGGCCTGAAGCAAAGCACAAATGCAATAAGCAAATGCAAAGCATTTTCAATAAGAATAAACGCAAAGTACTCCATTTTGGAAGGAACAATCAATTGCCTGCGAATGCTCAGATAAAAACAGTGTCTCGCAGCTAGCTAGCAGCTTACCCTTACAAACTGTGACCCAAAGTTTGAAACCTCCTGGTCTAAATAACACTTAGTCCTGCCATGAGTGCAAGGGACTGGACTAGGTGACCTCTTCCAATCCTGATTCTATGATTATTCAAATAGCATCTTAAGATTCTTGCACTACACTTCTTTTTAATAAATTTTGGATTTGTTTCCTATGCTTGATCTCAGCACAATGAGAGAGCTAATGCTATATTATAGGTCACAGCTGCCCATAGCGAGTGCACTGAAAGTAAGAAGTTGTAACAGAGCCGTAAGAGTGACATTTTGGTGCATATTTAACTTCAACCCACAGCATTGTTTGCAATATAAATATTATTTAGAGAGTAAGTCTGTTGACAGTGGAATGAAACACATACGAATGCCTGGTCAATATCCTTCCTGATATCTGCCACTATCCGGGCATTATCGCCACGTGCCAAGACCGCATCCAGGGAATGATGCTGGATGGATTCCAGCAGGCGAGCAGGGTGACCAAGACGCAGTATCTTCTGCTTATAGCCAGCCAGTCTTTCCACCAGATTATCCACTGCAATGTTGGAGGGAGCACAACACAGGACCTTGGAGACAAAACAAAGTGCTAATTAACTTCAAGCATTGAACTGCTAAGGATTGCAAAGCCTCTGATTAAGAGCATTTAAAGTAATGATATTTTCACCAGTGCAGACAAGAGGGAAGAGAAGATCAGTGAATGCAGCTATGAGGAAAGGCAATAGTTTAAACCTCTGCAGATACAAAATACTGCAAGAAATATGCATGCACAGCACAAAATTTTAAATCATTACCCAAAGTCCATGTCTCAAGGACATCATTTAGGCAGTGTGCAGATGCGGTATTTGCCTCAGTTACAGCCATGCACACAGTTGTCTCTTTGCAACTTATAGGACAGGCAAATGAAGATGCTACTTAAGGGGAGGGCAAACATTTTGGACCAGAGGGCAACTTCAGAAATTTTTGAAGTGGCCCCGGACCGCCTTGGAAGGGGTGGGTTCTCAGGCGGAAGGGGTGGGGCCAGGACACTTCAGTGCTTCCCTGATTGGTCTGTGGGTGGGGGAGCCCTTCAGTGCTTCCCTGATTGGTCTGTGGGTGGGAAGTCTTTGTGCCCTGCCCCCCTTCTGAAAGAACCACCAGCTGTTCTGAACAGCTGGTGGCTCCCTTAGGCCCTGGCAGTGGGAAAAGACTTTGCACACTACTCCTGCCCCCAGGTCAATCAGAGCCTAGGGGCAGGGATACATGCTAAGTCTGCCCTGCCCTGCAAGGGAGCGCTGTGCTTAGAGTCACCTGCCAGCTGAGCAGCTGCTGGGGGTAGATTTTACTTACCAAGCCCCTTGAAGGGTGGCAGGAGACTTCATGTGCTCCACGCACCCCCAGGCCAATCAGGGCTTAGTGGCAAGGGGAGCACATGAAGTCTCCTCCTGCCCTGCCCCTGGGCTGCGCACTTCTTGCAGGACAGGGGCAGGGCGGAAGGAGACTGTGCACTTGCCCCCACCCCCAGGTCCCGAGTCTCTCACTCCCTGCCCTCCAGTGCATGGCGCTTAGAGTCAACTGACTCTAAGCACCGTGTGCTCCCCCACACCTAGCTCTGACTGGCCTGGGGGCAGGGGAGCGGCAGGACCGCTGCGGGCCAGATCAACCTGCTTGGCAGGCCAGAACTGGCCCACAGAGACCGTTTTGCCCACCCCATGCTAACTGTACCAGAAGAACACATCCTGGTTTCAGGCAATGGCTAGAATTGGGACAAATCTTTGGAGTTGACAAAGCCCTCAGTTCCAAAGTACAGCTAACCCCTATGCTCAAACAACACACATGACAACATGTACATGCACATGCTATAGCTACAGCACTAGCTTTAGAATTACAGACTGCGTGGCTCATGCAGATAGGGCCCTTTTCGATCAGGTGTCAAAGCCTGGGCTCTCTGAAGACAATTAGTGCCTCCTCAATTTGCTGTCACTTCCCACCTCTCCCACCATGGGTGTCATGCAAGTAACCTCACATTCCCAAGAGACCCCTGAAGCAGGATGGGGGCTGGCTTCCTGGCCTGCGAGGGATGTGTATATTTGCCAAAAATCACTATTTTAAAAAGATTCAGAACTAGCATGTTTTACAAAACTTACAGCTGCATATATTCAGTGAGACAGGGTTTCCCAAACTTTGGCAGTCATGGAGCCCCTAAAGCATCCTGAATATCTGGGGGAGCCCTTAAGATATCATGACTTTTAATTAAATAGAACCCCAAATAGGCAAAGCTTTGGAATCATATTTTTATTTCTTGTAGATTTTTTTATAAATTCCACCCCCCCCAAGAAAACTATCAGAAAATTAGTAATACAATAAAAGGGTCATACAACTATCTTTAATATTTTCTTGTGGAGCTACTGGACCCATAGCACGGAACCCCAGGGCTCCACAGAGTACACATTGGGAAACTTGGCAATGAGCAAATATGGAAAGCTGTGCCCATTTCACACTACCCACAAATGTGACATCTCCCCAGCTGGAGGGCCAGAGTGGTCCTATGGTTAGTCACCAAACTAGGACTCAAAAGATGTTGGGTCAATCCCCACCTCTACCACTAATTTTCTATGTGGCACTGGGGGGAATCTCTTAATCTCCCCGTGCCTCACTTCTCCGTGTGCAGAGTGAGGAAAACAACACTGCTCCACCTCATGTGGGTGGGCAATAATAAACCATTCATGTGGGTGGGGTAGTCACACTGCGCTGACTGCAGTAACTGAGTATAGACTTTCTTAGACTGTGCACATAGAGCACCTAGGGCCTCAGACTTAGGTGGGAACTCTGGGAACTACTCTAAGATCAAAACACAAATCTGGGCATTGCTTATGTGCCCATCATTGTAGTGTCTAGGCAACCTGAGTCACTGCCTCCAAGCAAACCTGGTAGGTGGAGTTAAACATGTCAGGTGCTGCCTGATGCATCAGAAAGGTCACGCAAAGGCACTGGTGCATGAGTACTGGGACTAGGGGTGCTGCCACGTCCCCTGGCTTAAAGTGGCTCCCATCATATACAAGGTTTACAGCTTGTTCTGAAACAGTAGCCACTGCTATAGCAAACTAGCCACACTCAACCAGCTAAATAGCCATTGTTCAAGCCAACTAGCTACACTCAACTGGCCACATGTGGCTAGCGTGTTGGACAACACAGGCTTACAGTTTGGTTCAGTGGCTCTCAGCACTGAACAATTCTATACACATTTAAACTTAGTAATTCAACAGAACACTTAGGGCTCTATCCTCCTCTATACCCACACGGCATATAGTCCCAGGACCCACTATACACATTTTACTCTTACTTACTTACTTACTTACTTACTTACTTACTGACACACACACACACACACACACACACACACACACACACACACACACACACACACACACACTTTTTTCTTTTTAATATCAACTCCTCCAACCAATGCCACTGGGATGTGAGTCAAGGCAGAAGCTGAAGTGGAACGCAGCAAGGATGGGCAGCAATATAAAATTCCACAGCTCAATGTATCTGACTGGTTGGCAAAGCAGGTCTCCCTAGCAACTCTGGTACCTGACACTCACTTTCAGGCCTTGCCGCACAGCTTGAAGTATTATCTCGACCACAGTAGTGGTTTTACCGGTGCCAGGAGGTCCATGGACGATAGCAAGTTCTTTCTGTGCCAGCGAAAAGCAAACAGCCTCCCTCTGAGAGGCATCCAGCGCTTCATTGTAGAACGTTAAAGGCTCTGTGGAAACAGCGAGAGGCTCAGTCAGACGTCGGCTACAGATTGGAGACATGCAAAAGAGTAAATGCACCAATACAAATAAAAGATGTTCTTGGTAAGTGGCGTGAATCAGTCTGACAATGAGAATAATATTTCTAGCAAGCAAGGCAAGCTGCTTAGCACCCTGGGGACTAACACTTGAAACTTGGATTTCTTTGAAAAATGACAGGTTACGTGCATTATCCTGATCACCCTCTCTTTGTTATCCTGGGCATGCTTCAGAGGAAGCGGACATTAGTTTTCCAGACAGCCTGCTATCAAAACTCTGCTGCCCTCGATAGCATTAAAAGGAGCAGTTTACTTAAGGGAAAACCAAAAGGGATTTTTCTTGTTGTTGATAAAGGGAACCGAAATGTTTTGATATTAAAAATTCAGTGACAGAAAATTCAGGTTTTTGTTTTTAAATTCATCATTCTCCTGCTGGTTATGAATCCACGTATAAGAGCACTATACTAGCATAGTGTAATTTTTCTCTTCCTCTCTGGAAACAAAAATAATGCAGCCCAGTCTCATTTCACTGCACAACAGCAAACAAACAGCATAAATGGTAAAAAAGAAAATCAGATTTTCAAGTCTTTTTCAGTTTTAATTATCTAAGCAACACAGGAAAAGGAAGAGTATGTGACTTTCATCTTGACCGTGCTCTTAATTTCAAAATACCGGATTCTTCTCTTATTTCTATAAGCAGTTTATTTCTCTTTATGCCTCTGAGATTATTCTCAGTTAGAGCCAAATTTATTCTCATTCTACATAATCCTGCCGCTAATCTCTCTGGTTATTACTGCAAGGTAATTACCACAGAAAGGCTCACACATGAGACTAAAGTTTGTAGAAAATAAAAGATGGGTAAAACTCACAAAGATTCCCTGGTGTCATTCATTAATTTCACTTAGTGCCTGATCCAAAGCCCACTGAAGTGAGTGGGAGATTCAATCAAAAGTGACCTTCCCTATTCAATTAACTTTAGATCAGACCTGGCATATTGGCAGGTTGAATGATCTTCCCTCAGGTACACCCCTTGTTCCCGGCCTAGGATGCCTACCTTTAAAATGCTGGAGTACAAGTTAATGACACAGGGGGCTCAAAAGGCTTCAAGTGGGGAGGGAATAAAATGGCTTCTTTTCCCTTGTGTCTTGTTCTGCCTTTTTTTTTTTTTTTTTTTTTTTTTTTTTAAACATTACAGTCACTCGCAGAAGAACATCAGGTCTCTGTGGGATAGGGAAAAACAGCTCCCAAACGAGAGGCATTTCCCACAAAGAGGAACAGTTGGTAAGTAGGAGTTGCTTTTTTTTTTTTACTTTGGCAAACAGGAACCAGCTTTAGTTGCATGCTGGCAAAAGGTGCTCTAACAGAGCAGGCACATCAGGAGGCATGACAATCCCCTCCCCCCCCCCCCCCCGCCAGCCAGCAGGCTCACTTAAGAGGGGCCGTCCCTCACAATGGAAAGGTGGTTCAATCCCCTGCCCACTCAGCTCGCAGCCTCACCCTGCAGCCCCTAACGAGAGGGGAGCTTTGAGGGTATTTCCTGTGCTTTGAAACCATCACGGCATCTCATTGAGTCCACTGGGAGGCCACCCCAGTCATTGGGATGAGGTGGAGGAACCCCTCATATCAAGCCAGGGCAAAAGGGGCTTCCGTGGTCAGGCCTGCAGATAGGGCTTGCAGCCTGGACCACTTGACAACACCAGCTGGACAGGAGAGAGACACTGGAGGGGGCAGAGGGAGGAGCCCTTTTGTAGACCTGGAAGGAAGTTGTTCCCCATGGCCAGTAAACTGCAGGCTGCCCAGGAGACAGAGGGGAGGAGCAGTTGTGAACCTATCCTGAGTGGCAGGGAGTTCAGGCTCCTGACTAATCATCCATCTGGTGAGTGGAAGAAGAGCCTGTGGAGCAGGCCTGTGAGAGGAGTCTGGAAATCTCTCCACATCTCTCTGAGATTATAGCCAGCCTGAGAAACTGAATGGAGGGGGTGATGTGTTTCGTCTCTCGAGAACAGTCCCCAGGTCATTCCCAGCTCAGGCCTGGACTTTTTGTTGACCCTTTAGAGGTTGGTTTCATTGAAAAGACTTTTTCACCCTTAGCCCCACTTGGGGAGATCTTCCTTTTGGGCTCCTGCCGCGGCTAGCTGGCTGGCTCCTGACACAACACCTGCCTGTGCTGACTAAGTTGCTGCTTGTCGGCTCCTGATGCAGCCTCTTTATTTGTCTTTCCCCATCCATCATTTAGGTTCAGACTATCGGCTGTGAAAAGCACAGAGCTCAGCAGCTTTGCTTCAACCTGCTAGCAAACTATTCTTAAGTGCTGCTCAGATTCTTTTTAAATTAAGAATTTCCAGATACACTGGTCAGCCTGAAATCAGACCTGGCTTCATTCTTAGGCCCTGAGGTGCACAAGGGAAATAAAAACATGTGTGTCAGGGCTCTCTTCCAATCAGTGCTCTGCTTGCAAATGTTAATCCTAACAAAGTACAGGGGCTTGTTCACACAACCAGCATCACCCAGAGAAGAAGCTGGAATCTTAACCTTGTTGCAATCCTGGTTTGGGACAAGCCAAAGCCCTTTTTAGTGGCAAAGCAACGAGGAAGCAGCTTGGCAGGAGTTACATGATGAGTGTATGAAGTAAGGTGCTACCGGGTCTCTCTGAATTCTAAGGGCCAGGCTGCAAACCCCTTGCGGTGATGAAGTCACCCCCCCCCCCCACCTGAAGTCAGTGGAAATACTCCTGTAACTGCTCACCAGTGTATGGAATTCAATTTTCAATGGTTGGAGGCCTCTCACATGTGAGGTGTCCATTGAGATATATCCAGAGCAGTAGTAACAGTAAAGAGAAGCACACGTGTATTGATAGAAGAACTGATCCCATTCAGTTCCTCTATTACAACCTAACAGCACAATAGCTTTAAAAAGGGATTGTGGGAGGCTTAATCATAACAAGAGACTGTCCTCTCTATTCCTAAGGAGTGCTTGGACAAGCCATGTCACAACTAGAGGCATACAGGGATGGGAGTGTTCTTGCATGGGGCAGCAGCTTCCTACTCCAAAGTGGGCTTTATGTCATCTCCATTCGTCCTTGATTCCTTCATAGCCACTAGAGAGTAGCAAAGCAGTGACTATGTACATTCAGTTATAAATTCTGGGTTCCTGTTTTTTCCACTCCAGCTCATCTGAGGAAGTGGGTTTTGTCCACGAAAGCTCATGATACTGATAAATAAAATTAGTCTCTAAGGTGCCACATGACTGCTTGTTGTTTTTAAAGTTATAGACTAACAAAGCTACTCCTCTGAGACTACGTAAATGCAGCGTGCATTAGAGAAAGACATGACATATTTGAGATTCATCAGGTGAATGAGTGCAATAACAGACTGGTATTAATGGAGCATTACCCCATAAGGGCATTAGAAAAAAATTCTCCAGTAAATCTTCCAAGGTTCTGTAATACTTCAGCCTATGGCTCAGCTTCTGCCCTTAATCACCACTGCCTTTTTACATACTGTTTTTAAACTATGGTCTCTACCCACCATAAAACTGAACAGGGATTTCAGCAGCCCCTTTCCTGCTCGAGATATCTAAAAGTTCTTCCCAAAGCAATGAGATGAATGTGAGGGTCGCAAAACAACTGCACGACCAAATGCGGCAGCCATTCTGTCCTCAGCAATGGCTCATGATGAGACCAGAGCAGCAAAAGATTCTTTTGTGACACGCTTTGAAGGAAGCCACCTTCAAGACTCTGAGCAACCCTCCCTCTCCTGGACAGCCTCAAGAGAAAAGCAACAGATTCTGCAACCCTATGCTGTATAGCTGCATGTGCCTCTAACACGGAATTCTTTGAGTGATACAAGATCGGGAATCCCTAGCGGCATACTACTAATAGCACAATGCTGACCCCTGGTGGATAGCAGCTTAGTTTATCACCTTGCACATTAAGGAACTCCCAGACTCTGTTAGCTTCAGCATATACACACAGGAATCACTCCAAACACTGAAACGCAGCTACCACTAGGGTGTAATTGAACAGCCAATTAACAACTGGAATTAAGTGTGGGATTTACATAGAAAGCTCCAAACAGTTTGGGCCACAGCTACACAAGGGATGGCACATAAGAGTAGCAGCAACCAAGCAGTTTTAAAAGGGAGAGAGATCTTGGCAGTGCATTCTCCATGAGGAGAGTCTGGAGTTTATTTGGTTTGACAAGACCAGGACTTCTTAAAGTTCAGAACCTGCCGTTAGGAAAATCTATTCTCTCAGGCTTCCGTGTGAGCAGAAGCATTAAGATTTTGCAGTGACGGTTCCAAGCAAGAGTCTTATTCTTTTCAGTAGATTTATTTCATCTGGGCATATAATGTCCAAAACAGGGATGTTAATAATGCACATAAAACAGTAACTATGTAACCAATCAAAATTCTATCCTTTACAGTTAAATGTTTTACTAAGGACATAGGTGTAGGGAGGGAAGAGTGGGTGTTGGAAGGGGTCCCCCAAACCTCGGGCTCTCGGCCAACAGTAGAGTCCCAGGAACCGGTCCTGCCACCTTCGGCTCTCAGTCGCTAGCAGAGTCCCGGCAGTCGAGTTTAACCGTAAACAGAAACTGATAACCATTTAACCAATAAGTGGATGCTTAACACTCATAACATTATGGTCCCTAGTCCAAAAGCTGCTTATGATGATATATTACCTTAGGTTACTGCATGGGCCATTATATTTGTAGCCTTTCTGAAAGATCTGGTGTTTGTGTTAAGGGATATTTATTCTTGGCTGCATTTTCTATCATTTTACAATGCTATGGACTTGGACAGGCACTATTTATTTTAAGTGTAAATAACTAAACGTTAAATCAATAAATAACACTCAGTAGTTTAGGAGAAGAAGTGAATAATGCTGTTTCCAGCTGCAACCGCAGTTTGCTTTAGAGATGAATATAATTAGTCACAGTGGAATTTCCCCATATATAGGTTCTATCCTGCCTATGCTTCAGAAAAGGGCAACGGGATGTTAAACAATCTTAAATCATCAGAAATTCTGCTTTCCATATCATGCAGGAGGCAGCACCTCCTACAGCCCAGTGTTCCTTAATACCACACTGGAGCATGCAAAGGAGCACCTTCAGAATCACCAACATGACTTCCTTCAGGACCTGATTGCTCCTCAGAGTTCTCCCCTCCCACTGTTGACCCTGGCTCAGCTTGAAAGCTCTAAAAAAGAAGACAGCTAGAGGCGGTAGGAATGACGGCCCAACAGCAGTAACACAGCAGTTGTAGAAATGAAAGTTATCAGACCACAGGTGTGAGCCTAGTGTGTCTAAACTTCAAGGGAGAGGCCCAAAGAAAAAAAAAACAAAAAAAAGGAAGTTAGCACTACGCCTCATTAGCTGTAATTCTGGTCGGAGAAATCCCTGCACCTGTGACTACTGATCGGGATTTCACTCCACTACTGGTGGCTGGGATTTTCTCGTGGCAGTGGGACTGAGAGAAGGGCAAACACAGAGAACTGTCTCTAACTATGTAACTATGTGTCTGGGTGGAACTGCTTAAAATGCCGACTGTTGTGACCATTGTGCGCCAACTGGCTGTTTTTTTATGCAATGCAACATCATACACTGTGGTGGGATACTGGCTGCTGTGAATTACTTTAAGGCCGTGTCTATACTAGCACTTACGTCATCAGTACTTTTGTTGCTCAGAGTTTGTGGGGGAGTGGGAGTGGTGGCCCACCATCTTCTCCCCAGGGCCAGCCCAGAGCAGCGGGGGCATAGTGGGCAACTACTTCCCGGGAGTACCTGGGGCGGCAGGGGCCGTGCTGCTAGCCAGTGGCTTTCCCCCACGGTTATTTGTGAATATAACTGTCCCTGCTATCACCCCCCTCCCTTTGTGTCTGATGTGAAACAATTGCATTCCAGGCACATCCTATTGTCCTGGCACAAACAATCCCTAACCTTGCTTTAAGTTAAAAGAAGTAGTTGCCTACCAAATTTAGTGGTCTTAGCTTTTTAGGAGGAGTTCTTGGACAAACGGACTCACGGGTGGATGGACACACAGATATACAAACTCTCTAAACTATATAGCAGATTATATAGCTTCTTAGGCTTTACACCTCTCATTCCCACTTACAGCTCCATCCCTAATCAAACCTTGTTGCATTCGTTGGCCATTTAACATCTTTGTCCCTGGGTTCTCCTGTTCCCTGACCTCCTTGCATCTCAATTCTTATCTATTCTGTCTAATTAGAATTCTGCAGTCAAAAATCATCTCCCTCTCCCACTATTCTGACCACGTCTTTCTTCTTGAATCCCCTCCTTGGAGTCCATTCTTCATCCTTCACATTAAGTATAAGTTACTCTTCCCATTTGCACAGTTCTGCCTCTTAGCTACATTTTTTCTACATCATTCTTCCTACCTAGGCTCTCCCCACATTGCTGTGGTGCGCTTGGTATCTACGCCCAAGGTAGACCACAGTTTCAGCCTCAGCATTATCACATGAAGCATCTTTGATGCATTTATTCTTGTAGATAATTGCATCGTCTGATTCACAAAAGTAGTAATTTTGGTCCTTAAAGGAATTGCTCTGCTTTATCCGAAAAAAGGAAGGAAATGCTATAACATTTTCCCAGTCATGTGTCAGAAAGCACAAATGTGCAATATAGAATTCTCCCTAGATACTTTAAAAAAAATAATTCCTCCATTTGCACGTTTCCTTTGCTGTTTGAAGACTCTTATCCATATCCAAGCTAAAATGCAAGGGAAACTCCATGGGGCCTGATGATCTAGTGATCAGAGAAGACAAGACAGGGATCTTGTCAGTGTTATACTTAAGTCTACAAAGTTCTGGGCTCTCTCTCCCCATGAAAAAGAGAGAGAATTCTAAAGCTAGAGGAGCAAGTCTTGTACACTGCACTTCGCCTTCCAGCTTCACTTTCTCTCTGGGCCTGAGTCAAAGCCTAATGAAACTGATGCGAGTCTTTCAAGCGACTGCAATGAGCTTTGGCTCAGACCCACAGAGCAGAACGCTTGTTTGTTCATTTCTGCCTCATTGCCTCCTGTCATCCTTTCCTCCTCCACACTGGTTTAAGCCTAGATGGCACGTTATCGAGCTCAGTCCCAATGGTGAGTGTCACTTGCAGAGTCAGCCTTGCTCTGCACTGCTGCTGCTCCTCCTCTCTAAAGATAATGTCTAGTCTTCTTCCACAATGTCTAGTCTCCTTCCATGGACACTAATAAACTAGACTGGAAATGTCTCCGCGGGGGAGCCGTGTCGTTTTTAAGACTGGAAAAGATTTGTTTTTCCTGCTTAGGCAAAATAAATAAATTAAGACGTATGTTTGGCATTCTTCGCAGAGCTCTACAGACACAGGCCATGAGTGATACCCACAAAATAAAGACAGCGACTGCAGCTCCGCTGGGAGTCATTGCACAGTCTGCAGGCTCTCGATATAAGGAAGTAGGATCCAGGATTCAGTAGGAGGAGCTCTTCACCAAGCTGCTCCTGAACTAATGCCCCAAAACACTGTTAGAAAACACTGCTGCTGGAGTCCTCTTTTTCAGGCCTAAATGATTTTTGGGCTGACCCAGCCAGGTGCCAAGCACCCTTAACTTTTTGTGTCAATGGGAGTGAAGGATGCATATCACCAGTGCTATAAAAGTAAGATCGTTATTACCCAAAGCCAGCTCAGTGCAGGAAGCGTGCATACTGGAGATATAAATGGAAGACATTCTTTGCTTGTCACTGTGGTTGGGTGTTTTGAAGCAGGAGTGGGGAACCTATAGACCAGATGTGGCCCCCCAGCTTGCCTGGATCCAGCCGCCAAGGCCCAGGGTCCCTCAGCATTGGTGAACCCGCGCTGATGCTCCAGCCCCCTTGCTGCCCCTTCCCAGCCCAGCTGAGCTGCACATCAGCTCCCTGCCCACCCCCTTGCAGTCCAACTGAACCGTGCGCCAGCTCATGGCTCCCTCATAGCCCAACTGAGCCATGCACCAGCTCACAGACCCTCCCCTGCCCCGATGAGCAGCGCGCTGGCTTTCTGCCCCCCCTTGCAGTCCAGATGAGCCGCACAACTCTCGCTCCCCCTTGAAGCCCAAATGGGCCACACGCCAGCTCCCGGGCCTCCACCACCCTGCAGCACGCCAGGGCTCTCTGATCCTGAAACATCCATGGTCATACCAGACCAAGTTTGTTGCCAGACCAGATAATCCCAGATTTTAGAGTTGCAACCTGTACTCAATAACTGGGATTGAAAAAAAAAAAATCTGCACTGTCTCTACTGCACATCTGGGCAATTCAGAGATAATTTTTTTAAAACCGCATGAGGTGGTTTGGCCAAAATGCAGGAAATGCAAAGTTAATGACAAATCCAAACCAGGATGAAATTCATGCATTTATTTAATATAAAAAACTGACACACCATGGCTTTGAATAACCAAAAGTCTAAGGCAAAGGCACTGGGATGTGCTTCTGTTTAAGCACAATACTTGGGCTATGTAGCCGCACGATTCAGATTAATGCTATTCTTCATTCACGGTGTATTACACGGAAAATCTACTCCGAGGTACAGTTAAAAAGCATGAATGAGAGTCTGTGTGAGGGGGAAAAATGTTGGCTCATGTGGGATGCACATATACACACAATCTAAGTACTCAAAATGAAAGAAAACATAGCTGCGCAAGGAAGTATGGCATGAAGGACAAACAAACAGGACCTCAGCCTGTGTATAGAAGAAGAAGGGGAAACAGGGACAGCATAGTTCTCAAACAACGTGCTGGGACACTATAAAATGGGTAAGGAATGATAAGCTAGTGAATAGGATGCTGGACTGGAACTAAGGAAAAATTGATTCTATCCCTGGCTTGGCCCCAGACTTCTTCTGTGACCCTGGGCAAGTTCCTTAATCTGATTTGTGGGCAGAGGAATTCAGTCTCCAGATCTATCAACCCATCGCCCTCCATCAGCATTATATCCACTTTTAGAAAGAGAAATAAGAGTTCTTACTTGTTTCACTGGGAGCACTTGGTTCAGAAGAAAAGAAAAGGACGTCAATAAGACTGCATGCTGGACCAGAGAGATACTGATTTAGTGTGTTTAAAGCTCTGTCAAAGAAGAGATATAAAAATTGCAAAATTAAAGGGGATTCCTTCAGCCACTCCTGACTAGCTAGAAACCCTGGTCAACAACAGTTACGTTCCCTCCCCAATAGGGGACTCTTAGTGCCTAACAATCCCAACACTAACCCAAGTCACAACGTTCAAATCTGAATCAGTTCATCAGTTTGGTTTTCAAGCTGGAAACTGTCCTCTTCGAGATTTGCGCCTCCCAATAGCCACACTGAAATTTGGCATGTGAATAAACTTTGCACTCTAAAAATGTCACGAGTTATAGTGTAAGCAGATATCAGAGCTCCTAATACTAACCGGGAACAATTTCAGTGGCTGGAGTGTTACACATACAAGTTCCTTGAACAATGCAAACTGTGCAACTAAGACCTCGATGGCACTCACTGAAGTACTACCTCACAAGGTGTAGCCCAGAATTATTTTGCACAGTCTCTCTCACAGAAACTGCATCCAAAAATGTTTCATAGAGATAAATCTAATCACAGAGTTATACAACGACAGATAAAGAAAGTTATATGGTAAATGGAGAAGAAAAGGACAGGTTTTCAGAGGAGATCTAAAAACAAGATGGAAAGAACCACGTGGAAGGAGGCTGCGGGAAAGTTCCTTGCAGCAGAAGCTGTAGCAGAGAAGCTCTCCTGTCAGTAAAGGCAAGACTGGGGCAGGCAAATACTGGTCCACAGGCTGTATCCAGTTCCCCAGGGTTAGCCCCTGGTGGGCCGCCACTGCTATATTTACCTGAGCCTCCACAGGAACAGAAAATTGAAGCTCCCGTTGGGTGCGATCATCATTTCCACCCAATAGGAACTATGGAAAGCAGTGTCTCAGTCTGTGCCGCTTCCCGCAGCTGCCATTGATCAGGAATGGCAATCCGCAGCCAATGGGAGCTGCAATTGCCCATACCTGCAGAGGCTCGAGTAAATATAGCAATGGCAGCCCACCTGGGGCTAACCCTGGCAAACCACCACCATTTTACTGCCCACCCCGGGGCAAGACAGTACAGAAGGATTGTGAGGGCATGTGGCAATGCAGGGAGAGAGGAATCAAATCAGTGAGGTAAAATAAGGCAAATGCCTGGGGCGTTTCCTAAAAAAGCAAAGCAGTTTTGAACTGGATCTCGAACTGAATGAGGAGCCAGGGGAGTTGTCTGAGGGGGTGAGTGACATGGAAAGTAGGCAGCAGCTTACTTTTTCAGCCTCTTGTAGGTAACATCATTGGCTAGCTTCAGCAGGCGGTAAGAATTCTCTTGGTCCAAGCTCAACAGGCCATCTCGAGACTCCTCAAAGGCAACGGTAACCAATTTGGGGGTTATGTGGGTCACAATTCCTGTGGAAAGTGGATCGCCCTGACCAGCAGATTCATAAAGACCCACAATGTCACCTGCAAAAACAAGCCATAGGAGAGAACAAACCTCAGGGCACAACAGGCCACATGCTGTTCACAAGCCAACAAAGATGAGATCGTAAGAGGGGACCTTCTGAGGAGACGGTGAATCTGTCCCCAGCTACCACAAATCAGCACAGCCCATTGAAATCAGCTTTTGTCCTCTCTTTCTCTTAGACGACAGAGAGATGCTCCTTAGTGTAACCACCCAGCCACATACCTCTTCCCTTTCCTCTTGCCTTTCACCTCCTCTTTCATTCCTCCTCCTAACATATTGATTCGTTATTGCAGGCACTAGCAATTCCCCAACCAACTGCACTGAACTTCAATTCATGCTGGCTGCTGTGCTGTAGAGGAGCAAAAAAGTGCTCTCCCAGAGACGGCACTCAGGGAATTGATGTGCAGTTATAAGACTAGCGGGGGGAGAGGGAAGGGAAAGTAACGTGTTTCTCTGAACTTCAATCTTCACAATGACTGAAAGGACATGACATCGTGTTCTTTCCAAATTACAGCTCTGGTGTATGTCAGTTGTTAGGGCTGAGAAACGAATAAATGAGACCTGACATTCAGATGAAATAGCCATTCATTTTTCATTTTAGCTTAGAGATGGGCCTCTGCTGATCAAACTACTCGGCTTAATTATGAAATGGCGGTTTAACAAGAGGAACGTTTGCCAAGAAAACTACTCAGCTGCAACTGCTATCTCAAGTCCATCTAAAATTTTATTTTTGAATCACGAGCTCCAAGAAGTTCTAGTTAATATTACCAAATAAATCCTACTTTTAAATGATTCTGTACTTATAATTTACCACAACAGTGTCATTCCTTTTTTAACAGTATTGATATATGCCATTTTTTTGCCCTCATGGCAAGACACAAATTTTTGCCAAATCATTTTAATTTCAAAAGTCCTTCTGAGGGTTGGAGTCAGGCTACTAAAGATAAAAACTTAAACAAAACCCTAATGTCCATCTTTAAAATAACACTAAAAAAGCAGGGTTGTGATCAGAAAAACATCTGTGCTCCCATGACACAGTTTAAGTCACTAGATCTGCTGCCTCTGGAGTAGACCATGCCATGGAGGTACAGCCGTGCAACAAGGACAGCACAGCTACGCCACCCTACTGGGACAATGGGGGGACACCTCCTTGAACTCTCCAAGAAGCAGGGGGAGCATGCTTAAAACTCAACAAAACTGATGAGGGGTATAGAAGAGCTGCCATATGAGGAGAGATTAACAACACTGGGACTTTTCCACTTGGAAAAGAGACAATTAAGGGAGGATCTAATAGAGGTCTATAAAATCATGACTGGTATGGGAGAGTTAATAAGGAAGTGTTATTTACTCCTTCTCATAACACAAGAACTAGGGGGCATCCAATGAAATTAATAGGCAGCAGGTTTAAAGCAAACAAGAGGAAATATTTTTTCCCCCACAGAGTGCACTGTCAACCTGTGGAACTCCTTGCCTTATCATCAATGGAAATGTTACATACCAGGCCCAAAGCTGTTACAGGGCAGCTCTGCATCTGGATTGTATTTTCTAGGCTGAAATGTTACAAGCAGTCGTCCATAGAGCCCAGTTCTTTGACTGGCTACCTGCAGTTTGAGCAAGCAGACACCTTTGCGCTGGAGTTCTTTCAGGAAGATGCTTTCTCTCCAGGCCCTGGAAAACACACACAGAGGCACTACAGATGTTTGCAAGGAGATAATACTAAATCATACATTAACACACTGAAAGAGCATCCTAGGGCCATTAAGGGTGATGCTTACGGGTAACCGTTTAACAGGTTACCTGTTTACATCCCCAGTGCAGACACAGTGCTGCTCAATTCAACATTCTTGGACTCTGGGAGGCATCTCACACCCAATGTGCATGGGTGGTCGGTGCAGCCAGGGCTGGGAGCAGCAGATCCCCAGCCCCACCTACAACCCCGCCCCTTCCACTGAGGCCCTGCCCCCACCACGGAGAGGCAATTGGGATACAGTGGCAGCCAGTCTGCCTACACAGTGGGGAACTCCCTGGAAAAGTTTCTTTGCATGTCTGGAGATGGAGCAGGAATCCTCCCGGCACATCTGTACAAAGTTCTCATCAAGGTGCTCTGCAATCCTTCTCACAAGGTTTCTGGGTAAGGCTGCCTTATTCCATCCTCCACGGTAGGACACCTTCCCACGCCAAACCAGCAGTAAGTGGTCTGGCATCATTGCAGCACAAAGCAGGGCAGCGTAAGGTCCCAGCTTCTAGCCACATTCATACAGCATCTGTTCTCTGTCATGCTCATTGATTCGGTGAAGACTGATATAGCACATGGCAACTTGAGTGAAATGGGGGGAAATTCTATAATTGATCGCACTGAGGCAATTCACCTCTGTTTGTTCATCCCCAACAAATCATGATTCCAGCTTTGCCCCCCGTTCTGCGATGGACTCGAAGGGATCATCCAGGAGAACAGACATACGTGTGGGAGGGAGGCTGACCATGCGCTGACTCTTCACATGGGAGCTCCTCCAGCCCCAAACTGCTGCACCCACATTTAGGTTAATGTGGCATGGAAGGCTGCAATCTGCAAGCAAGCTGTGTGGGAGGAGGGGCCTTGGCAGACATGGCCATCCATTTGCAAATGCAAATGCATGAATAACAATCTCCATTTTCAAACTGGAAGCAAAAGAGCCCTGCTAATGTGTTGCTTACCATGCCTGCCAGCAAAACAAGTTCACTTGCCCAGCACTCTGCCACCTATTATACCTTATAGATAAGCATGCATATTAAAATGCAAAATTTCACCATGTACATAGCACATGTCCTTTGTATTACACAATACTTCATTCACTTTAAAAGAGTTAACGTTCTGTTTTTCACAATGCATCTTCTCTAAAATCTACCCTTGGTTCCCCCCTTCCCCAGTGCCCTAATGCAGCTGGAACCATCAGTCTGCTACTTACCCATCCTCCTCCAGCAATTAGGCCTTCACAAATTAGAAGGTGAAAAAAAATGTACACCGGAAAAAATGTTTAACGAGCTCATGCAATCTGCCTGCACTGACAGGCACAACCGAATGCACGGAAGCAAACTGTTAGAGGTCATCCACACCAAACAGGACAGAAAAGCATGCAGGGAACACAAGCGTAAGATGCAGGTTGAGATATTCAGGTTTATGCAGGAGCAAACAGAGCTGATGAGGCACCTGGTAGAAGTGGAGGAAAAGCAGCTGGAGCATAAAGACCCCCCTGCATCCATTGATACACCATCTGCTTTCCTCCCCAAGTTTCATATCCTCCTCTCCCAGACATCCTAGAATGAGGGAGAAGGCCCAGGAAGCTTTTAATTCAATTCTCAGGGAAGTGGGTTGTACCCACAAAGGCTCATGATAGCATCTATATGTTTTGTTGACTCTAAGGTGCTGCTAGACTATTTGTTGTTTTTAAGTTTTTCCAGTTCCAGACAAACTCGGCTACCCCTCTGAAACATCATTGTCTGGTCATTCATGAAAATGGTTTAAAAGGCTCTCTGATGCACCACTTCAAAGTGCTCTCCGTATGGTCCTGGTGTGTAGCTGCTCATAGTTGGCTGCCAAGTGATCTGCCTTGACCCCCCAACTCTACCCCACCAGAAACTTTCCCATCTTACTTTCACAGATATTACGCAGCACACAGCAAGTAGCAACAACAATGGGAATACTGCCTTCACTGAGCTCTAACCTAGTCAACAAACTTTGCCAGCTTTCTTTTAAATGGCCAAAGGTAAATTCTACCACCATTCCACAGTTGCTCAGCCTATGGATGAATTGCCCCTTACAGCTGTCCAGATGGCTGTGTACGGCTTCATGAGCCATAGGAGCAAGGGGTAGGCAGAGTCTCCAAGGACGACTACTGGCATTTCAACGTCTCTAATGGTAATGTTCTGATCTGCTAAAGAAGTTCCCACTTGTAGTTTTCTGGAGAGACCAGCATTCTCAAAGATGCATGTGTCATGCACCTTTCCCAACATTCTATGTTGATGTTGGTTAAATGGCCCTTGCGATCCACCAGCACCTGCAACACCATGGAGAAGCACCCCTTGTGGTTGATGTACTTTTTGGCCAGGTGGTGTGGTGCCAAGATAGGGATTTGTGTTCCAGCTATCGCACCACAGTTAGAAAACGCCATTGCAGCAAAGCTATCCAATATGTCCTGCACTCTCCCCAGAGTCACTGTCCTTCCTAGCAGAAGGGTAATGATTATCCTTGCTACTTGGATCACAGCAGCCCCCACTGTAGATTTACCCACTTCAGATTGATTCCTGATTGATCGGTAGCAGTCTGGCATGTGCGAGCTTCCACAGGGCTATGACCACTAGCTTCTCCACTGTCAGAGTGGTATTGCTTGTACTCCAGGGCAGAGAAAAGCAACTCACAAAGTTCCATAAAGGTGACCTTACACATTCAAAAGTTTTGCAACCACTGTTCTGTCATCACCCCTTAGCTTAGTGGTTCCCAAACTTTTCTGCATCATACCCCCTTTTTGATTTTTGAGAAACCCTCACACCCACCCTCCCAAGAAAATAGCAGCAAAACTTGGGGTGGGATTGATGGGTGTGTGTCTGTCTGGGTCGCCGCGTGCTCTCTCTGGAATTTCTTCACGCTCCCCCAGTTTGGGAATCCATGTTAGTTGCTTGTTTCTCAGGAGGAGATTTGGCGTTCCATTGGGTAAATATGCCCAGCTGCCCCCAGCATATGCGAATTGCTCCATTCAGTGTGTCCCTGCACATCTGTGTGCATGGCGTCCTCACGTTCTTCCTTGCACAAGGGGCTCCTGGGTAGGCTCTAGACAAACCACTGCATAACACACGAGGTGTTTGCAATACTTGCCACAGCAGTTTGCAGTTGACTGGGGTCAATGCTTGGCATGCTATGGTATCTGCATGGATAGCCAGGAAAAAAAGGCACAAAACAATTGTTTGCCTTTGCTTTCAAGCAAGGCAGTAGGGAGGAGATAAGTGCATTGAGAGGTTGGCGACATGTACCCAGAACCATCTGCGACTAGGGATGTTAGAAATCGGTTATTTTAGTAATCGTGTAACCACAACAATTCTTAGCAGTTACACGGTTACTAATATGCTCCCCTTCAGCGGTGGGCCTAGCAGCTAGTGCGCTCCTGGCTCCAAACCCCACTCCCAGGGAGCCTCCTGCCATCCCTGGGGGCAGCAGCAGCCCCTGTTTGCGGGGGAAACGGGTGGGGGAGCAAGCTCCATGAGATAGAGGTTACACTGGCATCTCATGGATTGATCTCATCAGTTAACCTTCACAGTTACATGCAAGGTCTCTCCCCAGTGCTTCTCTGCAAGTACTGGTTCTCTCTGCCCCTCTCCACACTGCTGCTTCTGTATCAGAGGCAGAAGAATGGGGGGAGGAGGTTCTTGCAGGAGTGGAAAAAGAGACCTCAACAAAAAAATAGAATATAGGACTCATCTAGACACAGTTTTAGCATTACTTTAGTGATACTGGTTTATTTTTTCCAGAAGTAAGCTATACCAATACATCCACCTTAATACCAGTATTACAGCCTCAACACTTATGGGATTGTAACAATTTGACTATGTCAGTACAAATCAGTACAGTAACCTACGTATAGCCCTAATTTGGAATTGAAAATGTGTGGGATTGAGTGGGACGACTGGCAAGCAAGCTTTGGAAAACTCAGGCTGTATCTATATCACAGCAGGGATCCATGCTCTGAGATCAATCAATTGGAAGTTGATTTAGTGGGTCTAGTAAAGACCCACCAAATCGACTGCAGATTGCGCTGTAGTCCAGATCTGTATTCTACCCTGGATGAGAAGAGTAAGGCAAGTTTCTCTCATTAACGCTGCACAGAAATTCAACCTAAAGTACATCGACTCCAGCTATTTTATTCACATAGCTGGACTTGCATATCTTAGGTCGACTTTCTGTAGTAGTGTAGTCATGGGCGTACAGAATAAAGGCTAAATTGTGTCTTTAGGCATGCGGGTATTGCCCCAGAGGGCAATAAGCCTCTGGCCTTATCTACACTACAAAGACTCTGTCAGTATAGCTATACATGTGAAGCATTGCAGATGCATTGCAATCGAACTTAAGTGTAGACACCCCTTATGCTGACAAGAGTTCTCCTGTTAACATTGGTAATTCACATTCCCTAGAGGTCAACTGAAGAATTTTTCCACTGATTTCTCACACTCCTGCAATGTAGTTAAGCAAACCTGATTTTTTTAGTTTAGACCAGGCTTGCGTCTACTATTAAAATGCTACAGTGGTACCACTGTGGATTTTTTACACCCCTGAAAGACTTAGTTATAGCGATGTAAATTCCTAATATAGACCAGTCCTAAAGCTTTTGCCAGCATAGCTATGTCAGTTAAGGGGTAATTTCCGCCTCCCTCCAATTCCTACAGACATAATAACACCAGCAAAACTTAAGTGTAAACAGGCCTCAGTCACTCTCAGAGACACACTCCTTTCCTGCTCCTCTTGCAAGAGGAGTGCAGTGAGTTAGTATGGGTTTGTGTAAACACTAACCACATTACCTACATCACTATAGTTAAATCAGCACAGACCTTCTAGTTCAGATAGAGCAATATAAAGGTGCCTTGTACTAGCACCGTTTATTCTCGTAAGAGAAGGAAAATAAGTTACACTGCTCTAAGGCAGCGGTTTTCAAACCATGGGTCGCAGAATGTCAGGCACTGAGTCTCATTGCTGCAGGGGGATCAGGTGACCCGGGTGCGTGTATGTGCTAAGGCAGCTACCTGCCTGTCCTGGCACTGCAGACTGTGAGGTACCACAGAAGCAGCTGGCAATAGGCTCGGCTCTAGGTGGTGGTGGTGGTGGTGAGGGGACAGCTCACAGAGCTCCTGCACTAAACCTGCCCTGAGCACTAGCTCCACACTCCCATTGGCGGGGAACCTGCTGCTGGTCTGCGGTGCCAGGAGAGGCAGGAAACTGCCTTAGCACCCCTGCTGCACTGCTGAGCAGGAGCCATTCAAGGAAAGCCCCTCCTATCCCAGCCCTGACTGTGCCCCTCCACAGCTGGAACCCCCTCCTACACCTCAAAGCCCTCATCAGCCCCACTGCAGAGCCCACACTCTAACCAAATTATGTTGAATCCTGAGCACCAACAGTTTTCTTCAACTGGATCATGAGAGAAAAAGTTGGAAAACTACTGCCCTAGTACAGGGCGTCCCACTATAAGTCACCCCAGTATACATCCATTCTGCACTAATGTCATTGACGCTTTGTAGGAACTGATGTGTAAGTCCTCCCATTCCCCACTCAAGTCGTACCAAAAAAAACCACACACACCAATTTGCACAGATGGAAGTCAGCCGCAGGAAAAAAATTACCCACTTTAAGCTTTTTCGCTATAAGTCCGAGTCTTTTGGAACGTATCTTGGACTTATAGCAAGGACGGCCTGTATTTAACATACAAATATTTACATGCTGACAAATCAAGCACACAAAACTAAGCTGAAAGAAAACTATTTAAGTCGCAACGTCACACATTTAAAAGTTTGCAACATAAAAAAACTGTCTACTTTAAATAAAATAATCATATTTCATAATGGACTGTGCTGAGCGAGTGTAATATCAGGGCTGATACCTGCGGCTCCTGTCTACACCCTTCTGGGCGGCAAGCACGAATTGTTATAATATGGAAGTGCTGGGATGCACCCACGTCTGGGGCGCTGCAGAGGGAGAGCTGCAGGACCAAATGGTTGAGACTTGGGGAGGCGGGGGACATCTAAGGTCCCAAGTAGCTAATAAGGTAGGTGGGGGGGGGGGGGCACGTGGGGGGGGTC